CAACCACCTCTTAGGCTTAAAAGTAGACCACCTCAACCTCCAATATTGAGGCCACATGAACACATGTAAGGCCATATGGCATAAAACATCTGTCGGCCTCTTAATAGGCATGAGATAAGGGATTAGAAGAACATAAGAAATCAAGCAAGATCTTCCCAGCTACCTCAGTACCAGGCCAATGATGATAGCCTTTCCTTTTTATTAAGGTTAGGAATGCTCATCTGCTATATCTTTTTGTGGCTTCAAAGATCCTCAAGGAGGAGGGAAGAAAAGATCCACCAAAGCACCTCAACAGTTACAAAACTTACATGAGTTTTAGGAGTGTCTCACCAGTAGTAAATTGTAGAGACTTTTCTATATGACCCTCAATAGAGTGGCCGAATTTGTTATAGTTGAATACTAGAGGAGAGAATTAGGAGCTGGTTTGCTCTCAAGAAGTTATTCCTGAGCCACTATGTATCCAACAAGAAGGGATAAGCCTTGATCAATGTCTCCAAGACAAAAGGCAACAAGTCAATGATATACCAAAGAGCTTTAGCTCGCTTTATTGATGACGTGACCTACTACGAATAGGTTACTGATGAAGATGCTCTTTCAGCATTGAAATTCAGTCTCAACATGAATACCCTCTTTTGGAGGGATGTGCAAAATAAAAACCCAACTATGATGAAATGGTGGAGATGATGAGGTGTGAAATCATCAATAAAGAATTGATTGATCACCCAATAGAGCTACCATAGGGCTCCCATTTCCTTAAAGACAAAGAGGAAAATGTCACACATTCTACTTGGTAAACCACCACGGACCCAAGTCGAGCATAAAATTGCTCCTACTTAGGACCAAGCCCTTGCCACAACCACTCTGAACTCTGTACGACCATTTTCCTATGAAGAAATTAGTCCTAAGGCAGCTAATGTCAACAAACCACGAAGCTAGACAATCTCCTAGAAAAGTTCTCCTTCACCAAGGGAGGGATATAAATAGACATAAGCTCAGAAATGGCAAAGGCAAAGAAAGGACATAATAGATGTGGACAACATAACTATTCATGAGATAGACACAATTTTTGGGGGGTCTATATGTTGAAGGTGAAACCAGAAATGCCCAAAGAAACTATGCAAAGGAGGCCAAAGACCCTCAATGTCTAGCTACATAGCAATAAAAATCCCCATGAGGCTAAGAATGTTCAACCTACCACCTTCACTCACGAAGACGCTTCAGATCTGTACTACCTCTATTGTGATGCCGTGGTAGTAAAGATTATTATAACACGCAATGGGCTAAAGTGAATGTTAGATCATAATAGGAGTTCGATCAACATTCTATTTGGTGTTAACTATGACAGGATGTTGGTGGATTACAAGATGACACCCATGACTGATCCATTGTATGGGTTCACTAGCGATAACATCATTCTAAGGGAAAGATAACCTTGCAGCGGAGATTAGCACATCATCTCAAATAGTTTATGACTTTATGAGTTCCTCGTGGTTGATAATACGTTAACCTAACATAGAGTTTTGGAAAGGCTTGCCTTAAAAGAATTATTGACAATCATTTCTATCCATCACCTATGAATAAAATTTCCTACGAAACATGGCATTGCCCCTGAAGAAAGGCCAAGCCCTGTAACATCAACATGGATGCACCTGACAAAGGTTAGACCCCGAGCAAGTAGAAGTCATCAAAATTATAGACGCCTAAAGAATGAATGAACCTTGAAAAATGAGGACGTTTGAAGAAAAAGTCACATATGATGATGATCTGGACCTTCGAATATGAACTTCAACTTACAAATTGTTCAGTGGAAGAATTGGAAAGCTTCCTAATAGACCCTCAAGACCCTAAAGCACTACAGGTGGGAAGTAATCTACCACCTGAGGTAGAAGAAAAGCTCAAGCACTTTTCATGAAAGAACTTGGATGCCTTTGTTTGGAGATATGAGAACATGGTCGGCATTGATCCAAAGGTTAGTTAACACCAGCTAAAAATTGATCCTAATGTTGCCCCGCGTAGACAGAAGAGAAAATCCCACAATCCTAAAAGGTATGATGCTCTAAACGACGAGGTAAAGAAGCTGATAATCAATAGCTTCATTGGAGGTCTACCTATCCGGAGTTAATCTTCAATCATGTCTTGAAAAGAAGCACAAAGGCAAGCGAAAGGTCTGCATAGACTTTACCAACCTCAATCAAGTATGTCCAAAGGATAGCTTTTCTTTTCCAAGGATATACCAATTTCTGGATTTTATTGTAGGGCACGAGTTGTTGAGCTTCATAGATGCCGATAATCAAATTTCCATGCATCCCGCGGATGAGGAGAACCTATCTTTCATCACCGATAGGGCCTATATTACTATAAGGTGATGCTACTCATGTTAAAAATTGTTAGCGTCCTTTACCAGAGCTTGTAAACAAAACATTTGCCGACCTCATTGTCAAAAACATGGAGCTGTATGTAGATGACATGCTTGTGAAGAGCCTGAAAACAAAAGACCATGTGAAGCACCTAGATATTATTTTTCAAATTTTGAAAAGGAACAAGATGATGTTAAACCTCCTAAGTAGATATTTGGTACTGCCTTCGGAAAAGTTCCTAGGCTATATGGTTAACCAAAGAGGAATCAAGGCCAACTTTGAGAAGATCAAGACCTTGATAGAAATGAGGTACTCTAAAAAAGCCTAAAGAAATGCAAAGCCTCACTAGATAAGTGATAGCTCTGAGTCCCTTTGTCTCTAAAGCGACTCGCAAATGTGTTCATTTTTTCAAAGTTCTCAAAAGATGGAAGAAGTTTCAATGGAATGAAGAACGTGAATAGGCTTTTCAGGAGTTGAAAAAGAACCTAGTATATACCTCATTCCTCTCAAAACTAAAAGATGATAAGCCTGTACTGCTCTACTTAGTCGTAGGCCATTGGTTTGATCCTTATTAGAAAAGAAAGCAATTACCAATTGCCCATCTATTATGTAAGCAAAGCCCTCTTCTAAGTGGAGGTCCATCACCCAGATATGGAGAAGGTCGTCCTCTCTCTCATTACCGCTCTAAAGAAGTTGAGGCCATATTTTTAGGCCTATAGTATATATGTGCTAATAAACTTTGTACTATAGCGGGTACTTTAGAAACCTAATGCTTCGGGAGATTAAAAGAGGCCATAAAACTGAGTGAGTCGTTTTCAAACCAAGGACTTCCATCAAAGGGCAAGCCCTTGCTGATTTTATAATAGAGTTTGCCAATTTTTCTAAAGTATTGAAGACAATGGAACCCATCAAGCCCCCACATTGAGGCTCTTTGTAGATGGCTCCTCTAAAGTGATAGATTTCGGGGTAGGTGTTGTCCTAGTATGCTCGGAAGGCCACAAGCTTAATTGTGTGGTGAGATATGGATTGAAACCCTCCAATAATGTTGCGGAGTATGAAGCCCCCCAACTAGCATTAGATTGGCTAGGAAAATGTAAATGAAGAGGCTATATATAAGTAGCGATTCTTAACTAGTTGTGAACCAGGTCAATGAAAACTTCATAGCAAGAGACAAAGGTATAGTAGCATACCTCAAACTAGTCATGGACATCTTCTCATCCTTCAAAAAGTTTGAGATAATACAAATTCTATGTCTTGAAAATGACATGTCAATACCTTATCAAAATTGGCTGACATCAAAGTTTTTGAACTGCTCAAGATATTGCCAATTGAGCACCTATCCAAACCCTCTACCTCTAAGGAGGAAGAAGTTATGTGGATCGAAGGCACCTGAAAATGGATATAACCGATAATCCTCTACAAGCTAAGAAGAAGAGATGCACACTTTGTTCTCCAAGATTGTGTACCATAAAGAAGTGGCTTCTCATTGCCTCTCTCCTACGATGCACAGGAAGAGAAATGATGAATTTCGTCCTCTAAAAAACTCATGAAGGCATACATGACGAAAGTACGAAAAGTGCTAATGATTTTCAACCGTATAAAGGCAATCATTTCAAGAGCTTATAGTTGTTTCAAGTCCTTAGCCATTCGTCGAGTGGGGGGTTGACCTCGTAGGCCTCCAACCAAAAGGAAGTGACAGTGCAAGCTATGCAATTATCACCATTGATTACTTTACCAAATGGCAAAAGTTGAACCTCTGGCCAAAATCACCGAAGCCAACACTTCCAGGTACATTTGGAAAAACATCATATACCGGTTTGAAATTTTCCACTCAATCATATCAGACAATGGAAGAACATCATAAGCAATCCACACTCCACGTCACCTCCTACCTAGTCGGGTGAAACCATATATAACATAGTCGAGGTGATGTATTGCTTCAGCCGAGGTGACTTGTAAAGGCCAACCTCATAGCATAGGCGAAGTGTCAAGCATATTGTAAGGAAAAAAATTGAGGCTCCGAGCCTCCACATTCATAAAAGGCGTCTTCCATCTCACATCTTCTCTAGAGGTCTTTCATATCCACTAGTGACTGATTAATGTGAAACTCATTGCATCTAATACCTTAAGGTCAAATTGAGAGTCTACATATCAGAGGTCAAACGTAGGCACTAGGGTGACTACTTTTTAGAATCCTTAAATGCACCCAGCTTATATATGGATCAATTGGCAGGTCAGCTGCAGGATGAGGCCACTTGTCTTTTCATCTAATGGTTATTATCTCGTCTCATCTACTATAAAAACTTACATGTCGTGCCATTTATAGGTAATACAACTTTATGTACTCAATTATAAACTTGCTCTCTCAATATACTCCCTTGATACCCTCTCGGATTCGACCCTTCAATACTTAGTAGCTCACGTCTCTAGCATGTCCCGTCCCCATACTCATAAACTGACTGACTTAATCATCGGATTGCACACTATCGTACTCTCCAACTTTAGAGAAGGCTACATGTGACATACGGTTTGTCCAAATGTGCAGGACAAAAGACTTAAATGGATGCGAAAGGGACGGGATCTATTGGCCACTTCACTCCTACAAAAATTATGGTCAACAACTACTATAATGATGGTGTAAAATTATACTATCTGCATTGAAAATAAGCATTACTGCTTGAAGTTTCTACATTGAGTATCATGTGTAATGCAGCTTTTAGGCCACAACATTTACATCATACATAAGAAACAAGTTCAAAAGTGAAAAATAGATAAATGAATAAATAAAACACAAACGCAAACCAACACTGGATTTTCAAGTGAACAAAGAATCAGATATACAGTTTTGATAGTCCTACACTAGTATTTTATAAGCCTCAGGACGGTGTATTCATGCTGATTTTTGCACTTAGAGATAACCAATAGACAACATAGGATCAAACCTTGTTCCCTTATCCTCTCATAGCAGAAAATCGGTTCCCAAAAACACACATTGATTGTGAAGACATTTGGAGAGATGTGCCATTCAAGAAAATTTCGTTTTAACTTGTTCTTTAAGATAGGGAGATCAGCTTTCATCATCTGAACTGAAATCATCATCGATATGCCGCTCCTTGATTGCTGGAAATAGTCGCTGGCGAAAATCTGGCAAAGACTCCTGGCGCGATTCTTGAGAGGGGGATATTGTCAATGCCTCTTTCCTAGGGGTCTTTCCGATTCCCAATAATTTAGCAGAACTTTTCACTTCTTTACAGACCTTTTCCAACATGAACAAGAAATCACGAACAATCACAAAGAGATGCAAACTTTCACCCTTTCCTGCATTACCATGGAAGTAATCTCCCGTGTTCTTTACCAGACCCATTATACGTTTTTCTTCTTCTAATAGAAATGTAATATCAGATTCGGAATGCTGAATGAAACTAGCAAGTGTATCATAGAACTCGCTATCTTCCTCTACACATTTCATCTCCATCTCAAGAAATTCTCTATTTTTCATGAGTGAGTGACTAAGCTTGGACACAGTTGTACCTAGACCGTCACTTTCGATAAGTGCCGCCTTTCTTACATTCTCAAGCTCATTGCTAAGTCCAGAAACCACTTGAAGACCAAGGTTTCGATGGTATTCTTCTATTTCAAGTGAAGAGTCTTCGATGAGATCTTCTGTTTTCACACTGGACATGCTTTGGCTCTCTCTTAATCTACGTGCAGCTCTTACACCTTCTGATCGAATAATTTCCTGTACGACAAAGTGTAAAAGAGTTGTTTTTCCGTCAGTTCCTTTTACATCTGCCAATTTCAAAAGTGTGTTGAGTTTGAACGCCTGTGCACCTCCACGATAAGTGCCATCATTCATACGGTTACCGGTTTTGAGAACAGCTTCCAAGAGCTTCAGGAATAGTCTGCTGTTTCGGAGTTCATTACATGCTATCTGCACGTAGTGATGAATATTTATACAATAAAAACCTTTTAAATAAGTAATTAATAAGAAACATGCACAAGAAAAATGGTAACGGAATGTTTGGTATGCTGTATTGGATGAGAATGGACACAATGCTTGACAAGATATTAATTATATAGTTAAATGCAATTGAGTAATTCATTAGTGGGTTTGGTTGCGCACAGACCTCTAAAGTTGCAAATGACTCTTTAATTGTAGAAACTTCATCCTGAAGCGTACTCATGAACAACAATGATTCGAGGCGTTTAAAGGCAAATGGAATTTCAACCATGACTTTCAGAAACTGTTCGGCTGGGCCAAGGTGAGAGAGGTGTCCACTATATAACCTTAGTTTTAGTTCTTCATCTGTTGTTGGTGCCATCTTCAATAAAGTTTGAATGAGCTCTGGGGGGAGTTCATTACCTGATAAAATTCAAACAATGCACAACACAACAAAATTAAAATAACAAATAAAGAAATGCTATACAAGCAGAAAGAATAACAAATATGAACAGTAAACCTTTTTAACTAATTAACCAACGCATGCAGTTAATGAACATGTTTGGCTAAAAAAAGTAGAAGTTACTTTTGTTTCCAAACATGTTTGGATAACTTACTTTCTTCTCAGTTTTAAGTAAACAAATGTTAGATATGTTGAACTGTTAAAATAAGTAATTTATTTTCAACTTCAACCAATAAAAAATAGTATTTACTTATGAATAAACTTTTTGAAGCATAGCCGAATGTGCTCAGGCTGCTCCACACTGATATTCTATGTAAGGAGAAAACATTATTAACAGTTCATTATTGCTTTCAAGACTTTTTCGTTTATGCTAGGAATGTATATTTGTGGATACCTGGCAAATCAAAACTCATAGCATCTGCTGGAAAAGAACATAAGAAGTAACCAATAAAATTTTAAAAAAGAACTGATTATATCATATTACCTTTCACTTTATGCTAGAGAACACTGGTGAACACAAAATGGAAATAGCATAAATACGACAATTGACCATCAACATACACATTGAATTGCATTTAAAACCCCAATATACCAAGACAAACTGAAAAGAAATGAACGAGCAACAAAATTCATAGTATATTCAGTTAATATATATCGACACTTGGACAAAATTTTCCAACTTTGAGAATAATATGTTCTAGATTTTGCACGTTCTACCCCCCTAATTCAAATGATATCTCAGAGCAACTAACTATAATCTTTCATTTGTTCCACGGCTTTGGCCATAACAGGAGTAGTAACAGAGGTATGTAATCATAATTTTTATCTAATAAAAGTGAAAGATTATTTGATTGGCAGGGAGAACACCTTAAAAAAGTAGAAATTTGCAAAAGAAAAAAGAGATGTTCTAATTTATCACGCCTTTCACACTCCCAGAGAGAGAGAGAGAGAGAGAGAGA